AAGGTCGTGTAGAGCTGGGAGATGTCTCATTTTAATCAGAAATTTGCGGGCTACAATTATAACTCATTAAGAACAGGTTTTGGTTATTTTTTAGAGTTTCTGAAAAACTGGTTTTCCATAAAACCGGATCTTCCAGAGTTATGCACCCAAATCCTTTTAGGGTATTTACTACCTCACTGAGATCTATCGATCCATGTACAAATCATTGAAATTGGAAGGGGGCACCTCGGGAGGTTCCCTCGTAAGCTGGTTAACTATCGTGCCATAAAAATGAGTGTATTATCGTTTTTTGCTCTATTTTGTGTTTCATATATACAACATTTGAAATGTTCATCGAAGAAGCGCGTCAGACGTTCTTCAGTTGCCACTGAAAAAATAGTTATAGTACAAAAAATAATTTTAAAAATTAAATACTAGAATGTTTTCAAATAGAAAGTGACAGACATTAAAAAATTCATATTTTCTCATAAAAATGTTGCAGAGGTAAAAATAATCGCAAAGTGTAAAGGACACTTGACTCTATCCTACATCATATTTAACTCTTCTTCTTTCTTTTTTCGATTCTTTTTTTTTAATTGAGAACGAGAAACGAATTCTTATTGAAGTTTCATGGTCTATTGTAGAATGTGAACGTTCACTAATATTTTCATTTTATTTATAACATTTTTACTTCATTTGAGAAAAGTATATAACCTGATTGATTTTATTTTTATAGATAACATATTTGTATAAAAATAAGAAAATCTACATTAGTAAGTAAAAATGAAGAATCTATTAAATAATTGTATCGTCTACGGATATCATTGATTGTAATTGTGTATTTAACTGTTTTGCTGTAAGTAATTTTTTTAAACTTTGTTCAAAATTAATTTCAGTTGTTAATAGACTTTTTGCTTGATTACATAACATAACAACAATATCATAAATCATTTGTAATTCTGGAATACGTTTTGTCGATTTATTATCATCATTATCATCTTCATCTCGTATTTCATCTTGTTTGTTGGCTGTTATACTTGTTAATTTAACTTCAATTATTTGATCTTCAGTTATATTATTTTTTAACCATTTAATAGGTAATGTTGTTTCTATATAAATTAATTCACGAATACGATAGGCATCTAAAAGAAGAAGAAGAAAACAAATCACTAACATTTTTTTTCTCTCTTTTACTATCAATAATAAATATGTTTCTTACTTGCTTTCTGTCGAGCATTTTGCATATTAATGGCAATATCACCTATTGCCAAACCAAGTAAAAGATTCATCATTAATATTGTCATAATAATAATAAATGGGAAAAAGATGAATGGTGCTAATGGAAATATTTGTTTGGAAAAAAATAATTTTTCATAATCATATTCACCTAAAACCATTACTGAACATTTTTTTAACGATGATAAAAATGTGAAAAATGATGGTTCATTATAGAAAATCATTTTGGTTGAAACGGTAAATGCAATTAAAAATGGTAATATAACAAGAAAAAATGATGAAAAATTTAGTAATATTGATTCAAACATAACAATAAAATCTCCGATAAATGGTACAGAGCGAAGAATTAGCGTTACATTTAACCAACCTAAAATGAGAAATGATATATGAAAAAAAATCTTATCAGAAAATAGCTCTAAATTGAACTAAAAATACGAAGTTTCTTCAAAACTGAAGAAGAATCGTTATGATTCTATATCGTTTAATTTCAGCTATAAACTTCAATATTTCTATTTCTAATCAAATAACTATGAAGAAAATTTAAAAAAAATTTAAAAGTACCTAATAGAACGGATACTGCACTACATTGCCATTGCCAATCGGTCATATCAAATGTATACTGTGTAATGGAAAATGGTGGAAAAGCAACAATAGCAACAGAATATAATATAAAACCAAATACTTGAGCAAATATGACCCTTAAACCACCATAAAGAATAATTTCCACTAATATTTTAAATATATTACAAGCAGCTAATATTAACACAATCCAACGTAATGTATTGGCATAAAAAACAAATTTTGGGGGATTAAATGAATTTGTTGTATTTTTTGCATAAAAAGTTAAATTTTCTCGTAATTTTACCATTTTTAGTGCGTTGGGTGCTGGTATAGTTAGAACAAATATGGTTAAAAAGAAAAGAAATAAGAAAGATAAGAGTCTTGTTAAATAAAATATTTTTCGATATAATTCCCATTTTCGTTTCATTAATTCTTGAGCTAATGGATGTTCTAATAGACTATATTGTTCATTATCAATTGCAATTATAAATGGATGATTACGATAAAGACTTGAACGACTTTTTGTATAAAGTGTGCGATGAAAATAATTTTTTAAATTATTCTTTTCATTTTCATATCTACAATAGTAAATAAATAAATAAAAAATATTATTTAATAAAGATGTCAACCAACATACCCGAAATAATCATCTATACATCGATAATTATATTTTGTTTTTTGGGTTCTATTTCCATCTGCATCGGTTACTTCTGATTTAAGTACTAATTTATCGAGTGTATGTGTCATACAATAGGGCATTGTACGAATTATTGTTCTAATAGGTGTAACAATAGGATAAATTTTACTATTAAATCTTCTTGCTTGTAACCATTGTTCAGCATAAGGATGTTCTAAAAGAACATCAACTGTTTCATTTTGCCTATGTCTAATTGCTATTTCTAATGGATTTTCAATTTTTTCATCTTCATAATCAATTCCAATTTCTCTTGTTAATAATAATTGAACAATATCACTATAACCATGTTGACATGCCGTAATTAATGGTGAATTACGATGCATTGTAATATATTTAAAATCGGATGCATTTTTAAGACTATCAAGTAATAATTCAACACAAACAACATAACCATTTGAACATGCATTATGTAATGGAATTTGACCCGTAGCATTACATTGCAACGGATTAGCATTTAAATGTAATAATTCTTGAATACATAGAGCATTACCATAAAATGCTGCTATATGTAATGGTGACGACTGATTATCATCATTAGGAGCATCAACAAATTTTCCCGTTGTAATATCGTCTCTTTCATCATCCGAATCGGAATTTGTACTTTGTAGACCGGTATTCAAATGTCTATAATTCTTTTGAGAATGTACTAAAACATTATTGCCTAGTAGATTAATAATTTGATGATAATTATAACGTGCGGCAATATGTAATGCATTCCAATGTCTTTTGTCACTAGTATTCCATTGAACAAATGGTTGAGTTAATAAAAATTCGCATAATTCAATGTTTCCCGTACGTACAGCAATCAAAAATAAACTTTTTCCTTCTTTATTTGTTTGATTTAATAGTGTCTTTTTTTCTGTGAGACTATAGGATAGATTTAAATAGTTAAATAAATTAATGAGTACATCTGTTCGACTTGTTGATGCAGCAAGCATTAATGGATTCATACGATTGTTATCCGTACTATTAATAGATGCTTGATTTGAAAGTAATACATCGATGACTTCAAGATGACCACTTAAACAAGCTGTTGATAATGGTGTTTGACCATTTCGATCTTTTATTTCAAATAATTTTAAATCTGTCAATGATTTTAATTCTTGAACAATACGACAACGATTAAATTGACATGCAATATGTAAGGCAGAAGAATGAGAACTATCATTTAATAGATAGGGATCAGCATGATTATCATATAATAAACGGATCATTTCGGGTTCATCATATTTTGCTAAACAAAAACAAAAAAAAAGAATTCCAATATATGATAGTGAATTTTGATCCTTCTCAGATCTTACCAGTGATATGAAACGGTGTACCAAACGGATCAGATAATTGATTAATGTATTGTTTCAATTCATCCTCATTATTGTTAAATTCATTTAAAATGAGTGTTACAAGCAAAATATTTCCACTTTCAACGGCAAGATGTAAACAAGTAGCATTTGTCAACGTTTTCATGACAAGTAATTGATGAAAATCTGTTTGTGTTATAGTTGATTTTATTAATTGAACAATGTTCAAATTACCTTTTTGACAAGCAAAATGTATGGGACAATAGCGTTCATCATCGATTACTGTTGTTAATGCACCTTTGGATAAAAGATAATCAGTTATTTCATAATAACCTTCTTTACATGCAAGATGTAATGGTCTAATGCCTTGTCTATCTTCACACTAAATATATATAGGACAACAATTACCAATAAACCCAAAACCATAATCTTTATTCAATTCATACTTCAAAATCGGCGTTCATTTCAATTAACTGTTTAACAGCCAATAAATTGTTTCTTGACACGGCATGATGAAGAGGTGTTAATTGATATTTATCTTTTTTATTCACATCACCATTGGCTTTTATCAGAAAGCAGATAAGTGGATGTACCGCTGTTTTAATTTTTTCATACTCGTTTAGCCAAGTATCGCGATCGTTTATCTACTTATAAATAGTGCAAATATTATTATTACTTAGTGGGTATACATAATAACGTTAGAGAATTACCGTATCGCCAATATCAGTCTCTGGTAAAAATACATCATTTTGTTTTTCTATTGAAAGTTGATCATTTAAAATAATGTTTGATCGAACCGAAGCATGAATAGGTGTTCGACCATTATCGTCCGTAATATTTGCACCTAAACTATTAAAACAAATGTGAATCACTGCTATATTGTAAAAATAGCTTTTTAACTAACGAAAGCTCAATATTTGTTAATAATATAATACAAATACCAAGTTGTTGATGACGTGCAGCATAGTGCAATGGAGAAAGCGATGTTTCATCTAGTTTATCGATTTTTTCTGCTGCACGTTTTTTACACTTTTCATTTTGTTTGCTAAATTCAACAAATAATCGCATTTTAGTCATATCACCTTCTCTAGCTACCTATAAAAAAAAGAAAATTATGATTTAGATATCAGTTTACAGAGTTCATAATACTGTTTACCTACATGACATAAATCTTGTGTCTCCATTGGAACTGAAATCGCTGCGACTGCTTGTACATTTTCATCGGGAATAACAGTCTCATCAGGAACAGCAGTTTCATCTTTTGACTCATTTTTATCAAAATTAACCACTTCTTCTTGATCAGCCATCAGAACATTCACAATATTTGGGATATATGAATCAAACTGTTTTACATATCATCAATCACCATCATTTTTTTTAAAACTTCTTACGCGTTAAAATGTGCATGTTTCAAACTATCGTGCATACTAAATGACAGAATGGTTGAAAGTTGAAAAAAGAAAATCTTCATCCAGTATGCTTTCTTTTTCGTTAAAGGTAGGCATACACTTTGTATAGACCGACAATGTTTTTTTTTCTATTTCTTCTTGTGTATTTCATTTTTTTTTCTTGAAGAACCTAACAGCTGTTGACGAGACTGCGTACTACAACAGAATGAAACAAAAGCTATGAACTTACAGATTAGAAAATGTAGATCAAATTACTCATGTAGTACAGTTCTTTTTACAGATAATTAAAAGAAAACATTCGGAACACCTTTAGTTTTTTTTCTTCATCAGCCTAGTAATGAGCTTCTTTTCAATAAAAGAAAAATTTGTACAGCGCGCATATGATACAGGTGAGATAAAAGTGAGCACATAAAGATTTCCAAACATACTGGGTCCGACGATAGCTTCTGTTTTCTTTACCTATAGGTAAAACCAGTTTTTCAAGGTTGACGTTGTTCGAAATATTCAATGTAGAAATATTTGAGATTGCACTTCGAAACTTACTATAAATTCATCGAAAAGACCATACATTTATCGAAATCACATTTTGTTTCGAGAAAATAGCCAAATCAATAAAGTTTTTCGATGGCTTCTCGTCTAAATAGCAAGCGAAACACGACAACGTTCAAAACGGAGGCCCAAAATTTAATTTTCGTAGGAATATATAAAAAAAGGGTGTATCTTTGACTGGGAGGATACTTTTTGACTTCGTAATGAAGTTTTCTAAAAAAAAGATGAATTAAACAGAATCGCAAAACTGTGAAAGGAAGATGGATGTCAATTTTAAGCTGAAAGCACTAGCTTAATATGGTTGATAAGCACATCGGAAGTTGTGTTGGCAATGCTCTGTTAGAAAATAATATCAAATTAAAAACGCAGATTGAACTACAAAAACAGAAGAGGTTATTCTGCTAAACCGAGAATCTACCGAAAACTCCTGTCTCTTGAGAGGAGAAAAAAGTTTCAAAGTTATAAAGCAGACTTTTTCGGTTTCCCAAGTTAGAAAATTCTACTGGAATCCTAGATGATCCTGTGAAAAATCTTGAAATTGAAAATTGTGTCGGATTTAAGTAGGATCCAATATGAATCCTGCCAAATGCTATCATATCTTGTATAGAACTCCTACGAAACTCTATACTGTAAAGGGTCATCTTCTTTCTCGTCTCGCTTCACTGCTTCTCTATCTGCTTCTCTTTGCACATCATCGATGAACGCTTTCGATACGGTTCACTGTTTTGGCTGATTTTCTCATTTGTATAATCATATTATACTCAGTTATATTACGAAATAAAATCGAGAAGGGTCAATTCCCGTTACATACACCATTTCCAATTCCAAGATTCCTAGCTATTCCTGTAGAATCCTAGTCGAGTGCTAAATAATCCTAATAAAATCATATGAGATCCTATTATAGGGTTTTGACCTGGGTTGAGGCGGTAAATTCGAAAACCTTCAAACTTTTTCATGAAAGATCGCAAAGAGTTGAAAGTGGCTCAAGTTTTAGGAGACGCTTCATTTGTTATGTAATATGCATAGCTCAATTTTGAAAAATCGGTAATAATGCCCTTCGGTAATAGATATCCTTAATTTACAGACATCAAAGAGAGGAACAAACTGTAAGGTGAAGGGATTATGAGTGAAGGGAAATTTAACAACAGCTTCCGGTCAAGATTACCATGATGCAAAATCACGCTGTTTGCGAAGTAGGTGGCGACATAAAAAGTTCTTGAAAAATTAATGATTGTACATCAACACAATAGTAGTATAATTTTATGCAAAGAATTTTTAGGTTATATACTGTCGAATTCTTTGCAGTTTACTGCCTCTAGGTTGCTGTGGTAACTACACATATTATATACATTTGAATGGGTTTCGATATTTTTAGTTTTCATTTTAGTAGATGATGAAGATGTATTCTGTTTTCCTCAGTTTAAGAGCTTTCATTGCGAATGACTTTGTAGGATATAGCAGAGAAAAATAGTTTGTGGGATTCTCAGAAAATACTATATTGTTCTGAGTGCAGTAGAAATTAGGTATGCACCGGTATCGGTATACCGAATACCGAAAATACCGAACTTCGGTATATACCGATACCGAAAATACCGACTTTTTTTGACTTGGAATTTTTTGGATTTTTTCATTTGAAATGAGGTATTTTAGCATCCTGGACAAGCAGAACGTATAAACAACACTCAGCTGTGTATTTTGAGCATGTTCAGATAGAAAGAAAAGAAAAACTTTGGCTTTAGAAAGCAAACAAAGCTCTTGTTTTCCGTCCCTCATTCATTCTGGGTGTCCAGGACGCTAAAACATCTCATTTCAAATGAAAAAATTCTAAGTGAAAAAAGTCGGTATTTTCGGTATAAATACCGATACCGGTGCATACCTAGTAGAAATATCGTCGGAATGATCATTGTTTCGGAGTTGGAGCCCAATCTTCTGAGTTCATTAGTAGAACACCGCCTATTTTTTTGAAATTCATAGATTCAATTCAAGATCATACTTCATATTTAATCTTTTTTCAACTTATATTATATATTATTTAGTTATTATCGAGATTATTTATTTATGAGTAGTGACGAAGAGGTACGTATCTTATTTCATGTGTAGTCTGAAATGATAACTCTACTATAGAAAATAAAAAATTATTTTAGGGTTAAATTTTTGCACCGAATCCTACCGCAGTCCTACAGTAGGATCTTGCAAGATTCTACAAGATCTGACTACAGGATCCTATAAGAATCTTACAGTAGGTTTTTCTGGCTTTGAGGTTTTCCAACAAGATCCGTAGAGTTCTATATGACCCTAAAGTAGGATCTTATAGGATCCTACGGTAGGATTGTATGACCTAGGTACATGAGTAAAGTACAGAACCAGCATTAATTATTGAGGCAAAAGCTTTTCGAATATGATAGCTTAAACCTGCCGAATTGTTTTAAAGAGAATTTCACCAATGTTTTAATATCTTTGTTATAGCCTCGGGTCGTCCAAGACCAACCATATGATGAGTCAATGGATGTAAGTAGGAAAAATACAAATACAAAGCTATAATTTTATTTTGTTCTGTGTATAAATTCGAAATATTTGAGTTGCTTTCTTTGAACTCATTATTCGTCATCAATTATGAAAGAAACGTTGGAAGAAACCAAGTGAAACGTACAAAACTGATGGCACATCGCATGTACTGTTTTTCTTTTTGTAGGTAATAGATGGTGAAGAAGTGGCCAGTGTATATACACCTGTACCACATAATCGAAAATTAGCAGGTAAAAATGTTCAAATAGGACAAACTGGCTTTTTAATTTTCATTTTACTCATCACAAGCTTGATAATAACCACCATTCGATTTGAATAAATAGGCTTAAATTCGTCGGGTAGCAGCACCAATCGTTCAAAGCATCTAACAGTACCAGGTTATTATTTATGTTATACTGTGCTGTTGTTCGTATTATAGTACTATATTGTGCATGTGTCTCTGCTGTTAGTTTCCTTCTATTTATTCGCATTGTAATATCTGTTCATTTTACTTTAGCACATGATTCCAGTATTGCTGCAGCTGCCACTGGTTTTCGTCGAGGAGAACGGCTACCTGAAAGTCCGACCACTAGTCCAAAGGTAATAAACTGATGACAACAATAAAAAGGGCCAATTCTATTTCTTTTTTTATAGCCAGGTAATGATGATACACAAGATGAATCTGATTCTGAACCACAATCGTCATCACAAGTATTAAACGGTCAGAAAGAATATAAAACGTATGAAAATAAACTATACACATATCCAATATTCTCACAATCTTCAAAACATACATCCGTAATTTTACCCTTTTTTTTGTAGTACCGATAGTAGTGGTGGTTATGATCCTACACTATACAAGGATTTACCAGTGAGCACTGAAATAAAAGACATATTCAAATATATTGACAAGTGAGGATTTGGTCAGTCAACCAATTTAAAGAATTTCTAGCTCAATATATTTATCGCTTTTTTAGGTATCAGCCACAAGACATAGTTTTAGATGTTAAATTAAAACCATTTATTCCCGAATATGTACCCGCGATTGGTGACATAGACGCATTTTTAAAAGTTTGTTGTTCTATACAAAGACTATTTATTTTGTTAATATGTTTCGTATTCAGGTACCTCGTCCAGATGGAAAGGATGATGGTTTGGGTTTAATTGTTCTTGATGAACCATCAGCAAAACAAAGTGGTAAGCAAAAGAAAACAGAAGAATTCGTCTAACTGAACTTCACTTCGTTTTTGCGCTTGTTTACCTTCCAGATCCGCATGTTCTTGATCTACATCTTCGACATACATCCAAACAAGCCACATCAGTATCATTACCATCTAGTATAAGAAGTGTTCCGAATGCGGATAAACAACCAAAAGCCCTTGATGAATGGATCAATAATATTAGTCAATTGCAAAAAGCGAAAGCTGTTGACACTGTTCATTATCAAAAGTACGTTTATTTAAAATAATAATAAAGAATCACACAGAAAGCCAATTATCAACTTTTCGTAGGAACATATGTATTGAATACGGTTAAGACGTAATGCTTAAACATGCTACGGCCTTTTGTTTCTTTGCTTAAAAATACTCATTGCGATCACTCTTTATCAAATTATTACTTTCATTTTAGACCATTTCCAGATACCGATTTTCTCATGCAAGAATGGCCAACAAAATTTGAAGAACTTTTAAAAGAGGTAAATAGATGAATTTCGACGTATTTATAAAATTCCTCATGTATTGTTCGGTATTGTAGACGTCTGCTCCACCAGCCGATCTCGATGTGGATTTGACAACATATGCGGATATTTCTTGTGGTATGTAATAAGGATTTCGAGTTGACTTAAAAACCAAAATATTTTAAAAAAGATAGAATCGAAAATAAATCAAAGATACTACTAAGTAGTTTTGAAACTTCTTAGAAAAAATCAGCTGTTACTTGGTAAATTTAACATTATTTCATATGTCACTCAAAAACACGACCTCGGTATTTCTTTGAATCATATTAATTTTATTTTCCATTTTAATTTTAGCATTGCTAGATATTCCCGTGTACAAATCTCGTGTTCAATCACTGCATGCTCTTTTCACATTATATCTTGGATTCAAAAACTCGGAGGTGAGAACGATTATTTACAGCATGGATAATTATGGACGGATGTGGGTGAAATAAATTTCGATTCCACTGTCTATTTTGCCCAAATCGTTCATAATTATCTATGGTACACAAGTGGTTTTGAACTTCTTCACCTATTATTGAGATAATTTTATTTTTTCTAGCATTTTAAAGCAATGATAGGGGATACGGAAGACGTAAATAGGAGAGAAAATGAAGCAGATAGAATGATTATTGATTAACTTACAACAACGATATTTTGAAATTTTCTTTAGTTTTATTCCTTGTATTTTTGTAAATTATTCAATATTTGTTTGCCGTTGTTAATAGTATTTTTCGTCCTGTACACTATTGTCTTTAGTTATTAAACAAATTTTTGTGTATAAAAAATAAAAAAAGATTCTTAGCCATACCATGAAACTTTGAGACTGTTAATGATTTTGTGACACCAAGTATTTACGCCGATAGCAATTAATTTTTTACATTTTTCTCTATTGTCAGCCATGGCATAGTACTTCCATGGAGAACAAAACTTCCAAACTAAGTATGAAACTTTTCCAAATTTTTCCACTTATATGCGAACAAGAGTGTAGAACGAAACACTCATTCAAAAAATTATCAAGGTTATGCACAAGAAGTTTCAGTTTAGATCTGTCCAGTGTATACGGACATAAAAGTTGCAAAAATATCTATACTCCTTTGTGTTAAAGCCAGTGAAAATTACACAAAAGTTCCCAACTTACCCGTGAAAAAGTCATATTCTACATGCCTTTTCATTGATGCCAAAATTCGACCCTCCTCTAATGAAACAACTTTGACCTTGTTTTTTTCTGCATCGACAGAACTTACGCCGCTGTTGGACATACCACATAAAAGAGCTCGAGTAGTACCAATACTGGTATGAAAAACGTGTCCAGCTACTCTTATGAGAGCAGGATAGCTTAAATTAACAACTATTTCGCCTCGATAGAAATTTAAGAGCAGAGTGAAAAGCACGCGAAAACATGAATAGAATACGATAATCGATATTTTTGGGTTTTATCATACCCATGTACTAAAAATCGCACAAAAATCGGTAATTAATCGTGAAAAATCATACGATTAATCGCGATTAATTGCCGACTTTTTGGTGATTTTTAGGCGATTAATCGCAATTAATTGACGATTTTTTTCTGGGTACTAGGTTCGAACCCATCTTAGGAAATACATATTTTTTTCTGTTTTTTCACTGTTTATTACGTATAATGACATGTGCGTCACACAGCAATGGTCTTAGCACCAGCTGGCGTCGGAGTCTTGCTGACGAGTCAGCTTTAAACATAGAGAAGACTCTTGACGACTCCATTGTATTCTAAAATAAAAAGATGATCTGAGTATAAGTGTATTTTTCGCTGAAATCGTGCTTCTTATATACAAACTTTATTGCAAAAGAAAACGGTGAATAACAACAACCATTTAATCACTTAAAATCAACAATTAATCGCAATTAATTGATGATTTTCGTGATTAATCGCGATGGTTGACAAAGTCATCGATTAATCGCGATGCACGAAAAAATTATCACTTAATCGCGATTAAATGACCATTTTTTCCCGAATTGCGATTGAGCGTCGATTTTTTCAACCATGGCGATTTTTTCAATCGACAAAAATGAAGCGATTTTCAGCACATGGATAGACAAACGAGAATGAAAACGAATCGGGTCAAAAAATCTTTACTGCCGTTTTAAAGAGCTCGATGAGTACTACAACTGAAAGTAAAATGAAAAAAATCGACTGAAAACCTTTTGAGCTAGGGCGACCGAAAGTTGGCTATTTCCAAAATGGGATCTTTAAAGAGGGAGATAGGTATTGAGTTAATTCTTTCTTCGTAAGACTACCCAGGTGGTCAAAAACGGTGTAATTAATTGTTTATTAGATGCCAGTTAATAGCTAATGACATAGTCATTAAATGGTCACTTTTACATCTTATAAATGGGAACGTTTTAATGCCTTAAAATGACATTTTTTAACAGACTGAAAACTCTCCGAGAATAGGCAGTTAATAGCATCAAATGACCGTTTTAGCACCATTACTGGCTGTTAATGGCCAATTATCAAATGTTTTCTTTGATTAATTCTTTTGATATTACCGTAAATATAGTCATTTTTGACATTTTTGGTACCTTAGACTATGGTACTATCAATGACACCAAATCCAGAACCAGCGACGACATCCACTGGACAAGTTTCGATGACTCGTACAATCGAAGAAGAGAAAAATTTGCAAATTTCTTCCAAGTTTTAGTGATACACTGTATATATACATATCAGTCATGATTGCAAAATAAAAGCGTGAATGAAACAGCCACTTTAAATGTCAATTTTTTCGCTATATATTTTGCAATTGAAGAATGACCCGTTAATAGTGATTTAACTGTCACAGCTCTTTTACATTGCAGGATACACAGTTAAATGCCTGTTTTTTGCCATTATAATAGTCAAAAAATTTACAGTAAACAGTGACTATTAATTGCCTTTTTTCCAACATCTTATGGTATGTTAAATGCCTTTTCTTGAGCCTTTATCAACAATCACATAACAGACAATAAACTAACTGTTACCAATAGTTTTTTTTAACAGTTATTTGGGTGTTAAAAGCCAGTTTTTTGGCATACATTTAAAACGCATTACATGGCTTATTAAGTGTCAGTTATGTTTCACCTGGGTAGGCAGCTCTTCAGCTTCCTTTGCATCTATAATAAAAGAAGTTGTTTTGCTTTGCGTTCAGAGGTGGTAAAATACTGAATGGCGTTTCTCATTTTCACCCATTTTGTGACAGCTACCGTGGCAGAGATGAGTGAGTCATTTTCTCGAATCATCTAAAGAATCTTATAGAATCTTTTACAACTAAAACGTTTCGACCTACTTTTAGTGGTATGGCGTTTAATTCAGACTTGTTTGGGCTGCGAAATGATATATTGCAATAAATTTTATCGTCCTCAAAAGAAACTGACTCGAGTTCAACTTTCGAAACGTTTGAGTGATTTGTTCGAGTCCAACCTTTTTATGAGCAAACCGTAGTGCACTAGTTGACTGTTACGAACGCTATATGTTTTTTCTATAGTCCACTGACATCTAGCAAAACACAAAGAACTATAACCAAATTCAGGAAAACCAATTTCTAAACGGAGCTGAATCCAATAAACACTGTATCGTTTCTTTTTATCTCAGTTCTAAATAATGTAAGTGGTATCAAATTACTTAAACAAAGAGGCTGCGATTGGATAATTATTTCATTGGTAAGTGACCCCTTCTCAACACTAAGAAAAGATGGCGATATGAATAACTACGGTATTGATTGAAATTAAACTGTAAGGAAATTATGGGCATTTATTACGATGTAGATTCTATCATTACCCATGGTCTACTTCGCTCTCTCTCCTGATTATTCTGTGTATAGCTTTCTAAAATTTGATCAAATTCATGTACACTCAGAATGAGTTCACTTTAGAGAAACATAGAATATACCTAATCTAAGAATAGAATCTTTGCATGATTGCTTTTAATATTACTCGACTGATTGTGCTTCTGATTTGTCAGACTGCTCTGAAGAGAATTGATCTTCCTGAACTTTTGGAAAAAAACGTTTTATTATTGACTCATGGTTTTTTGATTGTCGTTATGTGTTTTAAGTTTTTATCATACTAGAAAAAACTCGATTATTAAAAAATATAAACTGTACACAAGCACATTTTCTATCCTATCATTTATATACACACACTCACAACGACAGCAAAATTCATATTTTACCTTTGAAATTAAAAAGATCTGATCCATTTCCGTCAAAAATCCTAACTACTCTGTGTATTATCTATAGATTTTAATAATCAGATAATCAATGATCAAAAAACATATGACTCAAGGTGATAATTCTCATTCTTACGCTTCAAATATTCATGACGATAGATTAAAAATATTTTCTGATAAATTTAAGAACCTCTATTTCATAATACGGCAATTATATTATCTAGATACATTCTAAAATGATCTTTAAACTGATCTTTAATTAGTATACGCAACTGTGTTGAAGCAGATTATCTGCTGATAGCGTCAAGGATATAGTCTGTTACAGTTAGTGAAAAGGCGCAGAATGATACAGCATGCGGATGTGCACCATAAAAATCGATTTAGAATTACTACTATGCATTGTAGAAAGAATTAGACTTACTTTATGTTTTGTTTTTCCATTTAGAATCCTTGATACTAATCATTTCATTTTCTTTTTGTGTTTTAGATAAAACTTGTCATTGCTGTTATTATATCTTAGTATCATATTTTCTGTTTTCATTTCTCATTTTTTTGTTAATACCATTAGAATTTTGAGCTGCTGAACATTTTTAAGTAAAACTTATAAAAATAAAACATTTATTTTTAATTAAACAAGTTCAGTTAAAACAAACATCACAGAATCTAATATATTTTTAACGAGTCAAACAGGTAAAGACAATATCTCTAGTTTATAATAAGATGTTTACTGTTGAACATAATCCTTAACGAAAATATGAATTATCTTTTTGCTTGCGAACATTTCTAAATGTTCTCTTTGCTGCACTGGAACGCCCGCAACCGCAGAATTTTCATTATAAGCTATTCTTCTTTTTTGCGATAGTGACGTTGATACATGCTAATAAAAAATATCGAGATATTGAAGTAGGAGAAAGCTACTTTTCGTAGAAAACAAACGCTTTGATAGTGTTCTAGTGTCTCATATTGCGCATCGGACTCAAGGTTTGAAGAAACATTTTTATAAAGAGTAAGCGTGTGAAATTTCTATAACTTGATTAATCCTGAGTATGAAATGACGTTGTAGTAGTTCCCTTCTGTTAGTTTGTTACTGACAATCATCTTTGTCATTTTTCAGTAAAGTGCAAAGGAGCTAATAATTTTTTTCCTTGAGCCCATATGGTTTGATAATTACAAAGAACAGTGAGTTATGTTTTCTAACTGTTTAAACTGGCCATATTTAACAGTATGGTTATCGTTAACATTTGTAAAAATGTCCAATTAGTTGAATCTGTGAATTGTTCGTTTTTACTTGTTTTTCTCCATTTAAAACCTTGTCAAAAGTTTGTATTATTCAGATATTTATTTGGTGGTTTTCTGGTCTTTTGTTGTACATTATGTGATGTACAACATTAACATTACTCTAATGTACAGAAAAATATGCGCAAAAGAAAAGACGAAAAAGACCTTTATAATTATATAAACCATATAGGAATGGTAAGAAAAGAATAGAAACGAGAGAAAGAATAATTTTTACATAATCATGTTTGATGTATTTATGTATGCATATGCATACGTATACGTATACGTACAGAGGTGGTCAATTGTCCAAAAAAATATTGTAGGAGAAAAAAATTGGCCAAAAAAAGGATACTATCAATTAAGTTACGCTACTTACCATGACGGCATTCTATTTAATTCAAAGAAAAAAATATGTAACATATTAGATACTGTTTCGGTGATTTTTAACTTCGTAAATAGGAAACTTTGAACAGTAGTTAGCATATTAAGATGAAACCGATTGCTGTAAATATAAAAATTCTCCGTTCTCTTACTGTCTGTAAGATAACAGAGTATTCGTATGGACAGCTCGAGACTCTTCAGAAAAACGTCCCTGGGTATTTCTGACACGTTTACAGTACTTGCCTGGTAATGTGACAAAGGAGGATGAAGTGCTCAAGTCTTGCATATGACATGTTTTTTTCATACTCATACAAATTATGTATAAGTGATTCTTATAGCATCTGAGTACATGTCGGCATTTACAGTAATCATCAATAGAAAAGGTTAAATAATTTTTCAATAGAATGGTACTACAGATGTTGAACGTGATCCATATCGAGATTTGTAAATTTGTCAGTGTATCCTGTGAGACTCGTCTTTGAATCACTTATAATACCTACATTATCACCACTCAATCGATCGAAATTTGTTTTTAATTGGAATCTGTTTACACAAAGCGATCTCCAATAAGGCAGCACTAAAATGTCTTGTTCGAGTTTGAATATTTGTATTAATTGATTTTTTAACTCAGATTTATTTTTGGAGTCATCTTTCAGTTAATTACACTGGAATGTGAGAGATGATGTTTCACGTTCTTCATCAGTCTCACTATCACTTCCACTTTTGTACTTATTTTGCTTAAACTATGCACTATGTGCTTATGTATCTCGTGAAGTAAGTTGACTGCTCATTCTGTTCATTATGTCTGAGACTTACATTCAGTAATTAAATTACAATTTAGAGCTCAAAGTCGTTTTTCCTTATGCTCTTTCTGAGGTTATTTTGTAACGGCGACAAATCATTTTTCACCTATTTTTAAGTGATATTGTTGCTTTCTAAAGATTTTGTTAGATGTTAAGTGGTGATCTTTTCTAGTTAATCTTTTTCTTTTGTTTTTCTTCTTAATTTAGAGTATGAAGAAACGATTTGAATAATATTTTGCACATTGTACGAAAAACAATAATAACAACATTAACCATCTTCAATCGAATTAGTATTTTATTGTAGTGGTGGTATTGTTATGTAATTTACTTGTTTTTCTATTTTCTTTAAAATAATTTTTTATTAGATCGGTGCTTTTTCTCTTTGTTTTTCGTGGCTGTTGTATTTTTTTAATTATCTTTTGTACAATGAATGGTGTCAGTGGAACGAATTTAAGTGGAGGAGGGTCACAACTGAGAAAAATGCGTTCAAGTGGTGCAACAACCTCACCACATGTGGGAACAAGCAACGTAACACAAAATACGGGAACAACAACAACATTGGGATCACAATATCAAATTGGAAGAGTACTCGGCAGTGGCAATTTTGGTAAGAAGTTTTTTTATCATTATCTTCGTTTATATTACGTCTAAAATTGATTAAGGTGAGATTCATCTTGGTAGAAACACCGAATCACATGAACATGTCGCCATCAAATTAGAACAATCATCAACACGTACACCACAATTAGCTCATGAATATAGATTTTATAATATATTGGGAAAACTTGAAGGAATACCGGCTGTTTATTACTATGGTCAAGCGGGTCCATGTAACGCTTTGGTAATGGAATTATTGGGGCCGTCATTGGAAGATCTGTTTGATTTATGTGAAAGACGATTTACCTTAAAAACTGTTACAATGATTGCTTTACAACTGATGGATAGAATTGAATATGTACATTCAAGAAATTTGTAAGTAATGTCTAAATGTCTCATTGATGTACTCTCAAAATATTGTTCGAATAATAAAATATATTTTACTGTCCCTTTTTGAACAGTGACTTTAAACTGCGATTATAATGTGTAAAAGCTCGCTCAAAAAGTAAGTTAAGAAACATGGAGAGTTATGGATTTGTTATTCAACTTTCTGACAGAAGCTATTCACTCGAAATGCTTTTTCTTTAATTAATTATTCAGCACCTGCACTGCTTTACGGTGCTGACGTCGTAGTCGCTCTTCAGATCTATTTTTCTAATTTTTTCTTTATCTTTTAGGATTTATCGAGATATTAAACCAGAGAATTTTTTAATTGGAAGAGGATCCACGGTGAGTATTGTTGATTTAATGTAGTTAGACACGCTGCCATGAGGACTATTTTCCATTCCATTCGAAAGTATACAAGTGTACATAACTTTCGACTATTTAGAATCGGACTCATATTATCCATATGGTTGATTTTGGATTAGCTAAAGAATATATTGATCCAGAGACAAAAGAGCACATACCATATCGTGAACATAAAAGTTTAACTGGTATGAACAACAAAATGGTTTTTCTTTTAATAAATAATTGTTTTAATTTGATTTACTTAGGAACAGCAAGATATATGTCTACTAACACACATTTAGGACGAGGTAAGACTTTTCTAGATATTTATTTATTATACGGTGTGGCCAAATATTACGAAATTTTATTTTTTCGTCTTCTGCGCCCCTTATCTCGGCAAGGAGACAACACTTGTCGATGAAATTTATATCAGTGATGGGTATTAACGAATTCTAGTACCAAAAACAATTTAAGCTTGATTGTGTAAGCGGATCAAAAGTTATTGTCTCTCTTATTAAAACGGTGGCCGTTACGGAATTTCGAAAGAATGGAGTTTTTTTCTGATTGTTCCAGTAAAATGTAAATTACTCAGTTTCAGATTAATTTTAAAATAATCGCTCAGTTACCAAATTGAAGCTCACAGTAGGGGCTACTATAATCACTATAAAACCAGTTCCTTGGCAGAAGAGATCGAAAAAAGTGATCATTATGCGATTTTACCTTTTGCTCTTCTTTACAGATGGTTTGGTATATATTTTATCTGTCACATAAGTACTTACCAAGTTCCGATTTGCACATAGATAGATAGTTTGAGGTGCCCTGTATCCGATACAGCCAAAACTAAAGTTTCAAAATTAGATTAAATGGGCATAAAATTGCTCCCAAAATAAGCGATTGGATTTGTTGGGTGCCAAACTTTCTTTTTAGAAAATCCCAAAAATGTTGGCATCCAAACTTGGAAACAAATGAGGCATTTTGTAGAGAATTCGATTCGTTATCCGACGGTATAATCTCTAACAGAGTTTTTTAAAAAAAAATATCTATATCAGGAAATAAAATTTTAAATTTAAATTTTTAATATGAAAATTTAATTTAAATTTATTTCTGATCTCAGATTCGTAATCAGCACGAAAAACTACGTCTAACGATGTATTTTTTACCTTTGTTCGAGTAAAAATGAAATTCGAACCTTCTGATCCGAAGGATGAACGTTAGCTGGCCACGCCGTATACAGATATGATGGGCTTTTCTGTATAGTATTTACTAAAATGACAAGATGCTTGAATATGTGTATTTGCTGTTTCTGTTAATCCTTCTTATTAATATTTCATTGTTTTGTATTTAGAACAGAGTCGACGGGATGATCTCGAAGCATTAGGCTATATGTTTATGTATTTTCTCCGTGGATGTCTTCCTTGGCAAGGCTTAAAAGCTGATACATTAAAAGAACGGTATCAAAAGATTGGAGATACTAAACGTTCTACATCAGTTGAAACATTATGCGAAGGTTATGCACATCAATTCACAACATATTTACGTTATGTTCGCGATTTAAAATTCTTTGACTCTCCAAGTGTAAGTATGACTTCTAATTGAATAATGTAATACTTTATTCTCGTTTCTTCTATTTACATTCAGTATGAACATTTGAGAAATTTATTTCGTAATATATTGACTGAAAATGATTTGATAAATGACGGTGATTTCGATTGGGTACGCCGTATTCAAGAACATCGTATGAATCGTAATAAAAGAGGCTCGACAACGAACCGACTAGCTCCAACCACCAATACAGGAATAACAGTAACTAAAACTGGTTTACCAACTAACACTCAACTTGGCCCAACAAACATCGCTATTTCAGACATAAATAAAAACAGCAATAATAATACTACAAACAACGCTTGTCGTAATCATCATCATTCAGATTCATTTTTAGCAGGCGGAAAACTGGTTGATACAAAGAAAAAACCCACTGCAACTACACATACAACAAGTGCTAGTTCAATAACAAATAATAATAATAATTCTAATTCAACATCAATGATGCCGTTGACTAATGGTTTAAATAAGTCATCAATGTTACCCATACGTTCAACAAACACAACAACAGGAACATTAAATGGAGGATCAAAAACAACACTATCACAAATGACAACAAGTGTCAGCTGTAATCAACAACCGAAACAACAACAACAACAACAACAATATCAATCTTCTAGTGCCTATTCCGTATCGAGAGAAAATAGACCAAATCTTCTTCTCGGTCCACCGACAAAACGTCGAGGAATTATTCCGGCACCAACTCATTCACCATCAAATATAACAGCACCACCATATTATTTACATTCGTCAAATTATAATTACAATGCAAATTATAACAGTAACAATAACAACAACAACAATAATAATAATAATAATACCAGTATGTTAACATCAACATCAAATGAACCAACATGTTGTTTTTTTAAGCGTAAAGCTAAACGTGCATTACAATTATCATCGAGACGATCCTAGCATGATATTATTTTAACAAATATACTGTACTATTTGTACTGTAATAGCTTTGTAATAGCTAAATACAATTAAATAACATGCAGATTTATTTGACGTTTTTTGCTTGAAGAATTAAGCAGAAATATACGCGAATTATCGATAAAATTTTACGATCTGAAAACCAGTGGTGTGTATAAGATAGCCTACAACAGTCAGATAAAACTAGATTCTCTTGCAAGTTGTAGATGATGAAAAATAGAATCAATTGTATAAAAATAATTTTTTTATATTATTTATCCTTCATTGTTTTTGTCGTTGAGATACGCGTATTTTCTATTCTGTCCCGTCCATATATTTATTTATTTAAATTTGAAATTAATCATTATCTTATTTAAGTTAAATTTCATGTTGTTGATTTTTATTTTTAACAATTAACAAAACGAAGAAATTTTTTTTCCCGTCCATCCTTCTAGAATATATGTTTTTTTTCTTTTTCCTTATTCCATATTTATAATTAAAATACCACGCTCTTTCAAAAGCTCATTTTGTTTATTGTTGCATCGATTAAAAATAGAAAACAGTGTAAAAAAGGCATCAGTGTGTTTTTTAATAATTATTATTTCTTCTTCAGTGCCTTGTTTTGCGTTTGTGAATAAGTGTATTGTCTATTTTTCTTTTTTTTCCTTTATAACAGCCTCATTTTTTTTTACATAGAGATTTTCAAGTATAGAATAAAGAAAAATGTTTGCAATTTTTTTTTTCTATTTTCCAAATACGTTCTAGTCCAATATTATTGAGATTTTTTTCTAAAAAAAATAACAAGTAGTGACTCTTTATTGTATTTATTCCCACTTTTAAATCATCAAATTTTGTTTCATTTTGGCAATCTGTTATTGATTTTATATTTTTCATGTTTCTACTTCTTTTGTATATTATTAATATGTCGATATATATTTTGCTAATATTCGCAATGCATGATGTTACTGACCATGGGTTTTTTTTTGTTTTTTTTTGTTATTCTTAGAAATTAGTTACAATTTTTATTGACCATTTGTTTGTTTAATATTATTCTGTTTCGATGAAGTTAGATGTGAAAAACGAAAGATATCAGAACGCCAAAAAAATAAACAAAATTTACTTATTTATACTTTATCTTTTTTTTTGTATTTTGTGAATGACGGGATAATCAATATATGTAGTCTGTTTCCTATAGGCAGTCTGTAAATTGAAAATCATTTAAAATTTAGTAATTTAACGTTTTGGTTTTGAACAATATTTTAGCCGAGTTATTGTGAGCTGTGTAGATCTTCTAAGAGAAAATAACAAAACTTTTGACACAAAGATAGTGTCAATTTTGTTCTACGTACAACGATTTGACACGTGTAAGAATTCCATCTTCATCTCGTCTTTTTTCGCTTACAGATATCAAATTCTGATATTAAACTAAATCAAACTACTTTGTTACACTTTATTATCTATATCTGCAGTGACTAAAAGAAGATTCAAACTTCTGCTGCGAAGTTTATAAGTACATGTTATAGTTTATAAGTTTATATCCACATTTAATGTGGATTAAAACGTTTGTTAGTACTACGATAGAGTTCTGCGAGCAACGAACTTTTTTGAAATGAGAAGTTGATCTATAAAACTGTTGTCAAATCTGCTCTCGTCTTTCATCTAAATTTTGGTTTTGTTTATAAGTCTGATTGGACTGTCGGGGCATTCTGTTACAAATAGTCTCATATATTTTGTTCATGTTATGTGTATACATATTTTAGAATAATAGTCATTTTTATTTTGACCAACTATATCAAAAAAAATGGACGATCAAACGAAACCAGCACCATCGACAACTGATTTTCAGTTGAATAAAGAAAAAATGAAAAAATTAGCTGAAAATGCAAATGCAATCAAAATTGGTGGCAAGGTAAAAATTTATTGCAGTTTAAATGTACTCAAGCTCATTTTTTGCTCTATAACATATTTAGGGTACACCAAGACGAAAAAAGAAAATAATTCATCGTCCACCAAATGCTGATGATAAAAAATTACAAGGATCATTGAAAAAATTGGCTGCAAATAATATTCAAGGAATTGAAGAAGTAAGAATCGTGTAGCGATAGTGAGTGATAATGTAAGAAATAATCTCGAACTATACCTTCCATTCAGGTTAACATGTTCAAAGATAATGGCGAGGTAATACATTTTTCTAATCCAAAAGTACAAGCATCATTGTCATCAAATACATTTGCTATTAGTGGTCAATCGGATACAAAATGTGAGTTCATTTTTTTATTGGACGCGCTGCATGACACTGAATATGTTGTTGATATTGTTATTTTCTCACTCTAGCATTGACAGATATGTTACCAAGTATTATTTCACAATTGGGTGCCGACAATATATGGAATGCCGGAAATAAACTGAAATTTCCACCTCGATCAGCGGGTGATAATAAAACATCAGAGTCTGGTAATACAACAGGAGGAAATGGTGCTACGGCAACAGGAGAAGTACAAGATGACGATGATGATGTTCCTGGTAAATAGTGTTCTATTAAAGAAAAAATGAATCGTTTCGTGTAGCAATTGTTCTTTTATAACATTTATCATTAAGATTGTTAAGTGCTAGAATTTCATGACTATGAAAGGTATTCCATGCGTTAATAAGCTGTAGGGTGGCCTAGACAAAGACTGACACAATCTAAGTAAAAAAAATTGTACTATGGAAAGTCCCCTAATATGATAAGAAAGTTCAAGAGAGTTTCTAGTGTGACTGGTGATTTCTAATTTCATCTGTGACATTTGCTGCTAGTGAAGATGTAGGTGACGACGCATTTTTTTTACATCCTCTCGGTGTTAGAACAATCTTTTCTTCTATATGTCCATGTGATTTTAGTCCCAAATCAGATTATAGTTAATCTGGTTTGTTTCAAGAAGTCTCTCTATTGCTTTTTTATTATTTTTTTAGATTTGGTCGATGATTTTGACAAAGCATCAAAAGAGTGATAGAAGTATCAGTATTACAGCGAAGTTGGTAGATAATAATAACTTGTTTCATTTTCATTCAATGGGCACAAAAAATCACACCAGAAAAAATTATGCTTTTTGTCAACTTGTTTTTCTTTTCGATTTTGTTTTCTTTTCTTTCAAACAATTATTATTGTTTTGTTGTCTTCGCTTTTTTTTCGTCTTTTAAACACGAACAACAACTGAAACAGTGTTTTTATATTTGAAAACATAAAAAAATGAATTAGAATGCCGCCACCAATATTATCTTTTTCTTAAAAGTTATACTTTTGCTTTCTTGGTTTCAATTCTTTTGCCATAAATACAAATTTGTACTTGCACTTTTAGTGTTTCTAAAAGCTCTGTACTAAACTTTGTTCATTTTTTTCCCTACGTCTTTGGTTCTTGTCTGTGTTAGTGTTTTCTTTTTGTTTTACAGTTACTCACTGTACAACTAAAGAAAACATAAAAAGCAAAAAGCTAATAAACAAGAAATGACTTTTGATTAAACATAATTTACTATGAGTCGATGTATAACTAACACATGTACGAACAATTTCATGCCAGGCATATGTCAATTCTCCTTCGAAAAAAGAATTATAATATTGAGAATAACATCTTTTTCTCTTTCAAAGTCAAAATTATATATTGAATGAAAGAAATATTTTACTCAAATTATTTATAGGAAATTCTTGAGATTTAATTCTCGTCTTCTTGAATTGTGTTAACTTTATACGATGATTGCTATGTTTTCATGACTGATTAACACAGACAAATATAGTAAGTACCACAGATTGTTTATTTTACGTGAGAATTTTTCCAAATGCTACATTCCGTAATAGCTGATACTTTGTACATAGTCTGGCTTGATGAAATGGCAACATTCTAATTTCTATTTCAGCAATACAAGAAGTTGAAAACCTGAAGTTTCTTTTTTGTAGTTTTTATGCTAATCAAAAAACAACCATGAGTCATTGTATTCTAAAATGGATAGTAGTCAGAGATGGGCGTGTCCGAGCCACGACTCAAGTCATATTTTTTAATGACTCGTACTTGAGACAAAAGGCTCAGTAAACGTGATAAACTGACTCGAGTCATTTTCGAGTTACATTCGATCAATCATGTAAAACTTCGGATTATTATGAACGTGTTTGCTGTATTGGTTTTATACAGAAAGAGAAAGGGAGAGAGAGCGATTTCAGGATATTCTAAGAACGTTTCGTCACATGAAAAGATTAGAAACAAAGAAAAGAGAGAAAACAGAATGATATAACTGCTGTAATAAATCAATGGAAATTTTATCTTTAGAAAATGGCTGGAGATGACTAAAGTCAGTTTTTTATGCGATTCAGGCTCAAAAAAGTGACGGACAACTGGGCAATTTCTGACTCTAGTAACTCATTATAACTACTCCTAGAATGGATCACAGCTGTATGACGACGAGTATGTACTCGATACTCGACTCGTACTCGTTGGTCAGATACTTGTACTTATACTCACATCTAAAGCTTTGTATTCAGTTACTCATATCTGTTTTCTAGAAACTTTTTTATACGGAAACTTTAATTGAGTGATAATTCACATGCCGTTGGGAACAAAGTGCGGAACAGTCCCAAGTACTGAGAAACGCACGGGCAATATTAGTACTTCAGTTTATGGAAGGTTACTGGAAGATCAAAAAAAGAAAAACTCACACTGGAAAATCCAATAACTCAGTGAGTTTTTCTTGAAAAAGATGTACTTGTACTCGGCCAGCTCTGGAATGGATATCATTTTGAACAACTCTCAACATTTGTGAAGGATTTAAAAAGCTTTAAAAACATGGGTTTTCAACAATCCCCTTATTGCGATGACTACTAATTGAATAATATAATTTTGCTAATACGGTCAGAAGTTATATCACTTTTAATGAAAGCATAGGCGGTAAAGCCAGTGAGCTCGATAGACTTGAGCTTCTCTAATTTTGAAATTAAAACATTTAAAAAACACACTGTGTTCAAGAAGTTTAGTTATGCTCTTGATTTTAAAATTTTTTCTAACGGAAAAAGATAATATAATTGGGTGGGCCAGAATTACTGAAACGAATTGATAAATCGCTATTTTGATTGTATAGGATGTTGTAAGAAGTAGCGGCGTAGCCAGGATTTCTCAGCAGGGTGGGCTCAGCCCTGCTATTTTTCAGAAACCCAGAAACGGTGGTGTGAGTTTTCTCTAACCTGTAGCAAAATCCAAACATATTTGAGACGTGTGAGAAGAAACGAATAAAGCAGAATGAAAGAAAAATACTGATTGAACGAGAGGGGAGCTGACAAGAACACATTTAAAAAACCGAATAGAGATGTACCAACTACTACTTAATAACCTAGTGGATGACATATTGCAAAGAGAAAAGACACAGTGAATGGACACAGTAGCTGATATCATATGAAAAGAGACTATGAAGAACATACAAGAAAAGAGCGTGAGAAGAATGAAAAACAGACACGAAATATAGTGAGTAGAACATGTGATTAGAGGACGTAGAGAATATATGAGAACAAGAAAAGACGTCGAACATAGGGAACGATGAGAGATAAGAGAGGGCACGAAGAATGAGATACAGGTATCTAAAAATAACAATTGTAGAATTGACTACTGATGTGATATCTTTCATATCTTATATCACAAGTTTTCTTGAGACACCTAAAAAATGTTTCCGGATAAACTCAAATATCTTGAGGGTGGGCTCAAACAGTTTTTGGGTGGGCTTAGCCCACCCCAGCCCACCTGTGGCTACGCCACTAGTAAGAAATTTCTTACTACTAGAACTAGAAAACCAAGTAAATATGCGTTTTAAAGAGGAATTTTTGACGTACTTTTCTATATAAAATAAAACTTCTTACAACATCCTGTACAATCAAAATAGTGGTTTATCAATTCGTTTCAGTAAGTCTGACCCTTTATGTAGTAAATTTAGAATGCAATAATAGGGGGTATCTCATTTAATAGCCGACTAAAGGACTATTTGCGATCGGCAATGAAACAAACACGATTAAAGTATGTTTTGATTGTACTTGTTCAAAGACAGACTTAACGGTCACAATAATATTGAAATATATGCAAAAGTCGTCTCAACCAATGGGAACTGACGTACGTTTTGGGCCATTTTTAATATTTTTTGTTATTTTTTGATGACAATGGGAAAATTCATGCTAGAAGAGATCGAAATGTTTTTTGGCCTTTCCTGATTCTGAACGGTCGAAGTAAAGCTAATTCGTGCGATTCAAAGATGATAGCACCTAATGTTTAAATTCTACTCTAGTTTCTATTGAATAAAACAAAAAAAAATCAAGTTTTTAATTTAAATATAGATTATCATTAGCACTTAATGAACAAAAATATAAATATATACTATTTTCGTTTTTTTCTTTTCTTGAACTCATACAAGTTTAATTTATATTTTTAATTTCTGTTCAATAAATAATATAGAAAATATTGATGTGTCGAAGAAGAAGATTGACAGGGCTATACTCTCGTCCGTAAAAGAGTTTTACAAGAACTTGTTAAGAAATTTTTTTAGCTGATTGACTTTCTCTTGAGTTGTTCTTAGATAGTCTAATATACGGGCAGGTTTCTGAAAAACACAAAATGATTCTAGAAGCGCTTGACTTTCTCCATGATTTCAAAAGACTAAATATTTCACAGTTTTTGATGCGTTGTTATGAAGCGTTGTTATTTCAAGTACGAACAGCCCTATTTTGACTATTGATAAGGGAACATCTCACAACAATGGTAGCCAGATTGATACTCGTATTGAATAATCAATCACATTCTCACTCTCATTCTCACGGACAACTAGAGTACACGGCATGATTATTCTGTATAAGTGCCGCTAGAGTCGAAAGAAAAATTTTGTCGTCATATCGGACATGGTCAACACTTCTTGAAAGTTCGACTGAGGTTAAACTAGTGGTTATTGAACTCGTGGTTTTTAACAGAAAAACGATAATATTTTTAGAGACTTCGATTTTAAAAACTGCCGATATGTTTGATATTTCCAACATCAGATAATTACTATTCTCAAGGATTCTAATCTTACTAATATAAAATTTGCACAAGAAATATGATTTGCTTACTTACGATTTACTCAGGTTGATATTTTCTGTTTCATTTCTTTACAAGGTAAATAAATAATCTTGAAATAAGATTCTCTCTTTGTTATTGTCCCGAAAGGAATATGGGACACTAATTGTATGTTTATGTATTTATTAAAACTCGAACAACTGTTTCAACACCTCCCATCGTTTTACTACTTTTTACCAGGCTTTAAGGTATTTTTTTTTCTATGTACCAAGGTTAAGATCACGTAGAAATAGGAGAACAAAAAATTATAGAGGAAGGAAAGAACTAGATGTATTTGATATGTTGCGAGACGATCTGCTATGTTTACCATGTGTTTTTACGTAGGAGTTGATAATCATTAACATTTTTACTTCGATCTTTGAAAATCCAGAATGATACCATAAATTAAACAGTAAGTTCCCTTAAGATGAGTCATCTTTTCATTTGAGTATGGTATACGGAGCGAAAAAGATTCTCTTTCAGAAGAAAAAAGGATCATTGCACATATTACTTTTGGGCTAGAAGCCCTCTAACAGGAAATATAATATTTTGCAAATATAGATTTTTTCAACTTTGTATTAATTCATTTAACTGATACAGCTCGAAAGGATGAAAAATTAATAGCCTTTTCTTATGATTGTGTTATTACTTTAGCTATTATTCATAATATTTTGAATTAAAAAATCGGAATTTTTTTAGACCATACATCTAACAGTTAAAAGGTTGGTATATTTGTGTTACAGTGGAAAATAATATTCTACTTGAACAATATACCTTTTTTGAGTACCGTGATCTAAACAGATGAAGCACGGTAAGAAATAAGCTTGTAGAGTAATTGGCACACGGCCTTCTGTATCTAAAAAAATACGTAGATTACCTTCATGGGATACTTTCGTTTT